ATGTAATTGTGAATTGTAATTATGTATGCATGTAATGGTTCTGTTCTGTACCCCGGGGGGGGTTTGTCTTGCTGCTCTCCCCAAGCATGGCTGCATGGACAGGCGTGTGGAGTATTGCCCAGAACATAACCATACCGCCAACACTAACTGTATTAAGTGGGAGAACTTGCACAATTGGTGGCTGACTAAATACTTTTTTGCCCCACTGTAATTGTAATAAATATACTTGACGAAAGTGGTCCTGATTGAACCAGTGCTTCTGGCCAAAATATCAGTCCATAACCCATAATAACGCTTCATCCAGTGAAAAAATCCCCTTGTTGTCGTCTAAAATCAAATTTCACCAACATATTTGTCTACAAATGTTTTGGATCGTTTTCGCTTCTAAACCATGCTTGATCTGTGCATATTTCCCTGCTGGTCCAGACAAGATGACTTTTCCACTGGTGAAAGCAATATTACATATTTTAGCTGGAAGCAACAGATTGAAGTTTCACAAGACATTAATTGTTCGACTGCAGTTGTGTGGATTACTTGTGGATTATTGTGATGTTTTTATCAGCAGTTTGAACTCTCATTCTGACGGCACCCAGTCACTGCAAAGGATCCATTGGTGAGCAAGCAATGTAATGCAAAATTTTCTCAAATCTGTTCCAGTAAACATTATAAACTCAACTACGTACATCTTAGATGGCCTGAGGGTGAGTACATTTTCAGCAAATTTTCATTTTTGGGTGAACTATTCCTTGAAGTACAACGCACTACCTGAGCATGAGTTAAAAATACGTTGTTTTTTTTTATTAAACATTTCAAAATAGCATCCGTTTGCCACTAATAATAAATAAAATTTGCATAGTGTGTTTTATTATTCTACCTATTGCCTTTAAGACCATTTCAGGTGTGGCGGAATGGAAACCAGTCGCCACGTGATTTGATTTTGTTGTTGACAAATCAGAACAAACGGATAATTCGGGACACACTATTTAAAGAGGGTTATGACCTGGTTCATGCAAGACGGAAGTGCGCGAAATCTCGCTGCTGCGGAGATGTGATGAGGTGGGAGTAGCGCGTGCTACGGTGCGAAAAGTGAGTCTGTTTGGAAGTAGGGGAGTGAGGTGACGGACGTGAACAGTGGAATGAAGGGAGGTGCGTGCCCGGGAGCATGCCATAATACCAGTCTTCTAGTCCGTGCTGTGAACGAAGCTCTTGTTGTCCACCTGTACTCCTAATGCTCCAAGCTGTAGACCAGCTGCACACGGGAGGGGCTTCATTGTGTCTGAAACTTAAGGTTTCATGGAAGCGAAATCGGCATTGAGGAAACGGCACTGCATCAACCTTACTCAAGCCGAGTTTCTGAACTTTATTTATTTTCTTCGTTTTTTCCCCACCTTGGTTTATATGGGTTGTTTAACTGAAATGTAAACGGACTCAACGTGTCTTGATTGTATCGGATAATTTTGTTGTATTTGACCCGTGGTTGTGCGGGGTAATAAATTTGCATATGCAAGGTATTGTATGTTTAATTTGATTCATTTCCTCTTCACGATCTTGTACTTGTACTTTGGTGGTTTTAACGAGTTATCCGGAGTTTATTTATTGACAGGTTTAAAACACCCTGTCTGGCGCCCGAACAAAAGTATTGATTAAGTTTTTTTTACTCTTAGGGCCACCACTGTTACACAGGTGACAGCCTTTTGAGGTCTGTCGTTTGACTCTGTATTTCTGCACCATCAGCTCTTTCGGAGTCAGGATTCAGATCATTTCAAAGGCTTGTATAGAGCCACTTCTGTCAAACCTTCAGACACAGCACATTACCTTCATCTCACTGATCCTGACATCTGACCATCCTCTTTGCTATCAGTGGAACAGAACATTAATCTATGTGCCTGTCTGAAGCTCCACATGGCAACTTTTGATATTCACCTCCTCCTCTGGCTTCTGAAACAAAATTCACTCTCTTTACAAATGCATCTAAACCCCCTAATATTTATTCCTACTTTATTAACTTCATGAACATAAAAACTAGCAAATATTTCCATAACTATGGCATCATCATAAAAGCTTTCACTTTAAATTCATAAGTGATTTAACTTGTTCACACTATGCCACACATATTAGCTTTCAAGATTTATAGAGCTCTCTAAAGCACTTTACAACACATTAAACCCTCAGTAAATCCATAGAGCAGTAAACACTACCATTTACTGACTGATTAAATGCCATTAATAGGCTATAAAGCACAGTTACAGCACTGATGCCTTCATAAAGTCAGCAGTAAATTTATTGGCAGCAGTTCTGAGTGACAGCGAGATCAATGGCCCTCTTGATCAAACTCACCCAATCAATCATAATAACCAGATATCTGAGATAAAACTGCAAGACTGATGGTTTACAGCTAAAGGCAGAGCGAACAGGATTGCACCAATTTCCACTGGCACCGTGCACAAAACTAATTTCTTTGGCAAATAGAACACCGCTGTCTTATACAATCAAGTTCAATAACTGATCTACACAGAGATGAATGGCGTGACAAAACTAAAATGCCTCCATTATAATCAACAAATCTGTCATCAACAGAAGTGTTATAGTTGCTCAGAGAAGACTGATAACCCAATGATGCTGTTTATGCATCATTGTTTATTAATTCCCAAACAATTTATTGAATCATTTTCCCAGATATGTTGCTTCCAGTTCTATTCTACATTATAAGTTGGCCCTGATCCTTTTCATATATTTTCATATTTGTTTAGATAAAATTTAAATGGAAATACCTTCAATGATTATTATTTCCCCCAGTACACCATATATCCTCTCACCTTGCCAGTACCAGCCCCTCTCATATGACTTGATATGAAAAAAAGCATTTACCAACATGCTGTAGGCTTCAGAGACATCCATTTCAAACCAAAATTCTTCACACTTGTAGTATCTTAATATGTGGTGATCCAACGTGATCTCATGATAATTCGTATGTATTTTACGTAAAATGTGGTTCTATAAAACGTACATTTACTTACGTTTTTACAGGCACTAAAACGTACAAATACTTACGGATTTTCAGAATTTAAATGTGCAAAACTGACGTATTGACGACACCTAAAAATGAATCCTTATGAATATTGAAATCGCGGCATTAATTTTATTAGTTTTTAGTTGTCATATGAATTAACTTGTTTTCAATTGAATTATTAAATTGTTCACTTATGAAATTATAACATATCGTTTTGTTGTGATTTCTGCTGCCAGCTCGTTTATGCCTACATAATGTTAAACACGACTTCACTTTAAACCTTAAAATAAATAATATCTCTGCAATAGTTTAACCTTTACTTGTCATGTAATGTTTACTTTGATTGTCATGGGCCACAAAAGGCGTTTTCTCCGACATGCTGTGACTGACAATAGAACTATAAAATACACCAAAAACGCAAATGAACGCGAAATGAAACAACTTTATTAGTGCGCTGTAATCCAAATCTTCCGAATCCATAGGACTGCGAGGAACAGACCCAAATCCAAGCCTTTATTTGGCGATCTGCTTGCTTCTCCATCCCAAGCAGCGACTCCAGTGACCGTGAGCAGCAAAGCCCGCGCTGACTGATGCGCTCTTTACAAATTCAAATGTTGCCGCTTCAAACGACAGGTTTTACGGCAGGACATTCGAACGCTCATTGGCTCTCGCCTGCATTCGTCACAGATTGCGACATGCCGTGTTTCTGGTGAGGTATGTTTGAATGATGCACGCGCACCTTCAGGAGTTCACGCAGTGGATCGGGAAAATTATCTGGATAATATTTTCAGCGATGACTATAAATATGTTAATGCTATATTGTTACTAAAAGTTTTATTTTCCTGCGTATTTCGGTCATTTGCGTTTTATAAAAATGCATATTCGCTATAAAATGGGTAGGTTTAGGTTTGGGGTAGGTTAAGGGGTCTAAAAATCGAAATTGCTTATTAATAAAATGATAAAAATGCATATTCGCTATAAAATGGGTAGGTTTAGGTATCTAAAAGTCGAAATCGCTTATTGATAAAATGATCAAAATGCATTGATATGAATATCTAAATGATATAAAAGATACGCAAATATTTTTACGTTTTTTAGCTAAAAATACGTAGCGATTTGTACGTTTTAAACGTTGAAATACGTCTAAATTGTACATTTTAGCATTACTATAAACGTACAAAAGTGTACGTTTTGTGCTTGTAAATGTTACGTATTAATACCTACGTATAAACATGAGACCAGGCTGGGCGATCATCTAAAGAAAAAAGGCAGTTTATTTTTATTCAAAGTTAAAGGGCTGATAATACAAAAATACAAGCTCTTTAAACAGCTGAGATATACTAAAAAGGAGTTAAAGCCAGCTTGTTCCCTTTTAAATTTTGAATACTCAGCTTGACTAATTTGCATAAACCATTTTAGTCTGCAATCCGAAGATGATCATCACATTAACAGAAATAGAATATTTAAACTTTAGTTATGGATGCTATGGGTTACTTTAAAATGTATGTTTTTCATTTTTACAAACTCAGCTTAAAATATCCTGAGGAAAAAAAGAGAGGGACGCTAATCTGAATTTAGACATAAATTTCATATTAGCCAGAGAATTTAATGAATACATGGTAGGTCTGGAAAAACCCTGTAGCTCCATGAACTGCATTCAGGGGAAGTAAATGGTCAGAAAGTCTGAAAACAGTGAATGATAGATGTGGGAAAGCCTGTTCTCTTGAGAGGAGAATGTCCCACAGGTTCACTCTTATTATTCCATACGACATATGGTGATTTTGTACTGCACACCAGGATTCAGACTCCAGACTCTAGTATGTCCATTCCTCTACAACCCAGAAAAACAACAGTCACACTTTAAATGTTAATTACAATCCGTGAATGCCAACCAACTCATAAACAGCCAAACTTCTTGTGTTTTCTGTTTGTATAATTTTTAATTTTTTTGTTTTGCTTTTATTGCCCAAACATTTTAAACAATGCTGCATTTGTTTAGGAGAGTGAGACACAAACTATGTATTAAAAGATAAACGCTGCCCAACAACATATTTTGTAAAAAAGAGAGAGCAAGCATGCAAAACATGTATACTCAAACAACCTGTGCAAATAAATTAAGCACATTTCTCAGCATTACAGCTCCCAACAGGCACAGATTCCAACAGGCTTCATCCACGTGCTGGAGAACAGACAGCTCTGATCAGTGTGATAATGATATCAGAGGCATTTGTGGCCTCAGCTAAAGTGTAAATTATCTGGCAACTACATTAAAATCTATGAAATCCATTAAAGAGTGGCTAAATCAAATGAAAACTGCAGCAAATGCCTAATATGAAGTCAGTAGGTTAGTTGTAATGTTTCATTTTCCAAATCTAAGTGCACAACAGTTTTGTGAAGAATTTAAAGAAAGAAACTGACACTGTGGATCTTCGTCTTCACATTTTAAGAGTAAGCTACAAAGCTTTGGTAATTTATGATGTTCAATCCCCATTCATATTTAAGAAATGACTTATATTACTCAGAGCTGCTTATGCTTGTCTATGTCATTGGACCTCCTATGATCCTCGTTGAATGGAAAGGATTAAAGTTGTTTAACATGATGTAAACTTTCTTTCTGCATCAGCAAAAGTCAGGCCATGGGGTGTTTGCAGTGGCTCATTTGACACAGTCATCACTAAAGGTCTTACTATGACAAAGATTGCCATGCTTAAGAACAGCAGTGACTTCTAAATGCAAGCACAACACTCAATGCAACTCTTAACTGCAGCAGTGTTTGGCTGTAGCCCAGCTAACAGCTGTGAGGATTCCCGGTGAGGAAACGGAGAGAAATGAATGTGACTGCATGGGCAAGAGTAATGCTCTCATGTGTAGCTCGCCGTGTTGACTTGGCAAAGGTAGCGGATCAAGAAGAGCTCAAATTTACATGATAATAGTGTATGTCTGAATATAACCGATGGAAAAAGAGGATCATAATGGAACCCAAATGCTTGCAGTCACGATCAGCGCAGAGAGGGTGCTCCTTTAAAAGGCCACGGGATGGGGTCATATATAAGCCAATTCATCTGCAGTAGAGCTGAGCTGAGTGACAGCAACATGGCAATGAAACAACGAGCTGCACAAAAAAGAATAAATTCATTATTTAGCTGCTGGAAATAAGAAAGGAAACCCTGGACTAAAGCCTTCAGTTTAGAACTATAAATTAGTAATGCAGCTCACATAATCAATCAGCTTTCCACCAAAGCAATAGTGTCATATATCAGAGTTGGTGATAGAGGAGACCAGCGTTGTGATAAATATTTATGTGCGTCATCAGGCCAAAAACAGGCCAGAGGCCCTCCATCGAGTTTCATATCAAAGTCTCAACAGGAGCTGCAACTCATACATATGCACTCATATAGCTGTTTTTTTTAAATAAATTAAATTAAAAGTTAATTATTCAATTAAGTTAAAATGCAATACAAAAAAATAAAGAAAAACAATACAGGGCTCAATGTTAAAGTTTTTTCCCAGATTTTTACTTCTAATTGATACTATATATCTATTTATCTAGCGATGTTTATGAACCATGTATCTTTGTGTTCTAATAAATAAGGTTATGACACCAACATGTTATATACCAGTGAAATTTCACAATTCTCAATTCCAATTTCAATATCACAGCAAAAATGCTAGCGTAACTATAAAGTTCAAACATAAAAAAAGTGAATAAATACAATTAAAACTAATAAACCAAGTAAAAGCAATTGAACAAAGAGAAAATATATATTGCTTTTTTATAGTAAGTTTTTTAGGTAGGTCTAAGAAATGCTACAGAAATTAAAGGGGTGATATGATGTTGCTAAAAAGAACATTATTTTGAGTATTTGGTGTAATGAAATGTGTTTATGCGGTTTAAGGTTAATAAAACACATTATTTTCCACATAGTGTACATTATCGTTTCTCCTCTATGCCCCGCCTTTCTGAAACACATCGATTTTTACAAAGCTCATCGGTCTGAAAAGCGAGGTGTGCTCTGATTGGCCAGCTATCCAGTGCATTGTGATTGGCCGAATACCTCAAGCGTGTGACAGAAATGTTACGCCCCTTACCATATTGTGATGCCTTGTCCCAGCCGGAGCGACGAGACAAAAACATTAAAACCCATTATAAACGAGGCATTTGCATCCAGAGGGAACATACTTATGGATTATAATGACTTATACTGTCTTTTTACGCGTTGCATTGCATTGCGCCGCATAAACATAAAACCATGTCAGCATTTGTGATTGGACAAATGACAAACGCTACTCTACACTGCTCAAAACTGGCGTTTGAATCGTCAGTGGCAAATTCTTTAAATATTAAAAACGTACTTACAGTCTGTGAGTCAGAACAGCTGGCACTGTAGTCTACTCTACCAGGATCAGGAAACAGTTCTCCATAAAATGCGCTGTACAAATCTGAATATTTGGGTTGAACTGTTCTGGAACAGTGTTGTAAATACAACTTAACCACTGATTTCTAGTCGTGTCCTCTTTTGGAAGGCCAAACAAAGTAGTTTCGCTTTCACAACGAAACACAGCGTCACACACGGCAGGCTAGAGTGAGCAAGTGAGCAGCGGCCAGCGGTGAGCGGTGGTGGGTGGCTAGAGTGAGCGGCAGCGTGAGGGCTTGCGGCAACCACATGTGATGACCCCGGGCTGGACTCCGCTTCGTCCACGGTGAAAGCCGATCCGACGATTCACAGCGCGAAATTGATGTATTCCCTCAGCAACCAGCATGGATCAGCTCTAGGCATGACGAAGCGGATATCGTCCTCTTTTGGAAGGCCAAACAAAGTAGTTTCGCTTTCACAACAAAACACACAGTGCCTTCACGACATCGCGGTGGCAGCAACAACAATACTACAGCGAGAATAAAAGTTACACCTTCTTTCTTTGCATGAACATTTGGGCGGCGTTATGCAAATCTTCCCACATCGTGACGTAGACATGTGGGGGCGCGTTAGAACGAGCCGTTTTAGGTAGGTGTGGCTGACTCTTAACTTTTATAAAGAATATCTCTTTGGATTTGAGACTTTAGTCTTTGCAACTTTACAGATCTTCTTTATGCACCAAGAGCTTGTAACACTTCAAAGATAAAGGAAAAATTTAAATCATATCATATGACCTCTTTAAAGTAATTAAATGTATAATAACACTGCATAGTCTTCACTGTATAAATTAAAGATAGATTAAAGCTACAAACTTGTTTGATTAATATGACAGACAAAAGTAGGTTTTTTCGGCCTTTGTGACTTTAAGACCTAATAAATGGATTTAATATAATGACACACATCCAATTTTCCCCCAACTATTTACGCTGCAAGACATAACCCACTGTGTGCATGAGGACACTTGCCAAGATGGGTGTTTTGACACAACTATGTGTGTATTTGTCAGTTAAAATGTAATACGACGCAAAAGAGAATGCAAAAGAGAAAAACAAGTGCTTGAATGGTTTAAAATCACTCATAATATTTACATATGTAAGACTTAAAAACACGTGCAAATGGTAAACTTTTGTGACGACGCAGTAAACAGTGCCGGCCTGTCCAACAGGCTGTACAGGTGGTCGACTAGGGCCCCGCCTTAAGGGGAGGGCCCTGCGGCCGCAAGGTTGTCAATTAAATTTCAAGGTGTGTTCGACTTGAAGCCGGGCAGGGCGGTGCAGACAAATCGGTGTTTGACATCGAAGTACCACGAGAGCTATATACTAATGCACAGTTCTGCGTGCTTTCCTATCATATTGCAGTACTTTGATGTCAAACACTTATCGATCTGCAGCGCCCCTTACCTCAACACACATACAGATGACACACCAGATGTGCAGTGCGTTTAAAAAACATTTAATGACGTTTTTGCTCTAAATTAATTTCATATCATCAGTCTAGTGTTTGAAATAACTTCCTTTTGTGATCTGACATGGTTTCATATCACAGAATGAGGCAAAATCATTTTATAATATTCTACACAGTGATAAAGGCTGTGTCGAATAGCATTGCATTATAAATATACATTATGCATATAAAAAAATACCCGTGATGGCTTGAAGAACAAAGATACACCATTTAGTCCCAATCGTGTGTTTATTGTCTTCATTCTTCATCAGTTAAAATGTCCTATCTGCGTTTTATTCAGCTACTGCAGTGATGGCATATGCCTTTGTCCATATTAGGGATTTCCTCCAACATGATTTTTGTGAGTATTTCATTTTATGATTTTTTCACTTATGGTTTTACTGCACGAGGGCGCCCTTCGGCTACCAGTATGAAACAGCTACAGCTACTCACTACACCTTATTTTGGGTAAAAATAATACTTCTAAGTTTTTCTCCAGTGTAGAGGAGTTTTCTCTCTGTCTCTCTCAGTGGATGCATAACATTTCCTGACAAAAATTAAGAAATAAATCCTTAGACCTTTCTAAACAATTATAAACCTCCTGTTTATAATTATAAACCTCCTCATGTTAAAAGGTCATGCTGCAGTTTTCTGTAAACTATATTATCAATAATTATTACTTTAATGATTTATTTAGTTAAAACTATAATTAGAATTATTAGTAGTCATATTGATATATAAAACAGATCTACAAACAGGCACAGCAAACGTAAGTGTTCTTTATCATTTCTGGCAAATAAAGAAAGTTTATCTGAAAACATTTCTAGTTACAGTTCAGATTTTGGAATTGAAATGAAAGAATGATAGAGAGATTAAAGTGAAATTGTAGTAGAAATGGAATCCAAACGGTATCTTTATGGAGCCGAAAAAAATAGGATGTTCTGACTGCTATATATAATATTTCTTGCTTTAGTATTAGTTTTATAAATGCAATGATGCCCACGATCATAGACAGACTTGTCATATGTTTAAATTGCTATGACAATTTTTACACTAGTGGGGCCTATTTTCGTTATCTTGCCTAAGGCCCCACAACCCTACGGGCCAGCGCTGGCAGCCAGTGACAATTTCGTCAACTGTCCCAAGCCTATTTCACACTGGCCCAAGGCGGCCCTGAAATAAATGGTATATATATATATA